CACTTCCCCCTTTAAGGTTCTCACATACTCATGGTGGTCTCAACAACGTCCGCAGATAGGGCGCACCGCACCATAGGGCGCACCCCACATTTTGAGGGGGAAAAAAAGACGTTTAGGTGCGCCTTATAGTCGTGAAAATACGGTAAATAAAAATAAAATGATCTGCATCTCGCTCATATTAAACAAACCGTAACCAGTAATCTCCTCTCCAGTCACTGAGCTGTAGAATCCTCTCCTTATAAATATTGAATGCTCTGTGAATTAATGCAGCTCATTCTTTGATAAGATCCTCGTCAGACAGACATGGAATGTTTTTAAAACCTAATGTGTCTAACGGACCTAATGATGATTTGTATATTTTTTATGCACAAAACTACAATAAAAATCTGACTAAATTAGGAAATAAAGCAGCGTGATTGGCTGTAAGGAGAGCGGAGACAGAGGACACTGAGTTTACTGAAGGAAACCTGCTGCTGCCCAGGTTAGCGCTGGGAGGACGTTACTATGGCAACAGAAACAGAGGATGAGGAAACTCTTTGTGAAACGGAAAAGTCATAGTTTCCGTTTTCAGGTTTAGAAAACGTAGTTTTCGGTAAACCTGCTTCATGAAACAGACCCGTTAAGGCGGATCCAGGACTGCTTTTATCTGTTTGTTAACCAAACTGTTCCCAGGAACAAAACAGAAGTTAGCGCTGCATGTTAGAACAGAGCAGGTGAACTGAGTCCCGCTTTGGCCACTTCTTTTCCTCCCTTCAGATACGCTGTTCAACTAATAATCATTACTGTAGCATCATTGTAAGATAATTATAGTTTCCTTTTTAAACACAAACAGAAGGTCTTCAGTCAGAGGCAGTAGACAGACCTCTACAGGAGATCCTTTCTGCCCACAGCATCAACATCCATAACAATGAATTAAAAAAAAGATAAAACGTATAAGGAGTTACTGCAATGTTTAATTTCCCTTTGATTCGAACTGAACTGGATATTTGCAGGTGAAGCGGCTCAGATATTTCCATGTAAATGTTGACCGGAGGCATCGAGGGCTTGAAGGCAGAGAAGACATGAAAACACGAGTAAACAGGAATGATTAGAAATGAGGATTTAGATTTTATTCCAACAGGAAGTGCTGACCATCAGACATCAAACGTTCAGACTGCAGCTCCTAAGCTGCAGCAGATGATTGCATCCAGGTGTGACGGTAGCAGAGTGCCTCCGCCTCGCCCACGGCGCTCTGGTTAACGGAGAGAAGCAGGCCGAGCAGAACACCCAGTTTATTTAGGATCAATGACTCTTTCACAATTCATTATTATCACAAAAAAGCAAATAAATACAGTAGCTGTGCAGCAATATATCTCAGACATTACAACAGTTCAGATACGTAAATAAATAGGAGGAGTTTGAGGCTCCTTCGTACTTCACAAAAAAAACGTTATTTTTTAAAATATAAATACTGACATAGAATCTACTGCATATGGAAAAAGTACTTGTTGCCTATTTTAGAAAGGAACACTGAGTTTCTCTTGAAGTGTGGAAATGACATCTCATACTTTACATTTAAATAGAAATAGGTTGATCAGTCAGGCCTGATGGTCTGAGGGACGTCGGCCATTAGTGGCCTTTCTATCAGAACTATGCTTTAAAACCAGAATCTCTAGATGATCTTTAAACAGACAGAAAACTGATCCTTATTTCTAGATCTTTTCAGTCTCTGGTTCTTCAGGTGCAGGACGCCATAATGATCAGGCCTCAGGAGGCGAAGTAGGAGCTCTGCATGGAGCAGAGGCTGTCCATTGGGTTTCCTCCGTGTTCCTGTATGAAGCCTCCAGTTTGAAAGGCCATGAAGGACTCGTTCAGACTGGTCAGCGAGGTTTCACTGTCCATGTCCAGCAAGATGGTGTCCAGACCTAGGCGAAGCACAGAAAACAGAACAGGTTCAAAGCAAAGCTAGACGGCGTTTAACTGCCCACCTTCCCTCTGATGACCTAACATGTTCCTTAGCAACAGACTGATGCTGGGACAGAGCTCCTCTTCCAGTCTCTATCTACGGCCATTTCTCAGTTCACTAGAACGTGAATATGGAGTCATGTCCTG